GGGGGGTGGTGTGTGGTTGGGTTTGTGTGTGTTTTTGTGTGTGTGTGTGTATCACTAGTTGTACTCACCCAGTTGAGGTTGCGGGGGGCGAGTCCGAGCTCCCGGCCCCGCCTCTTCACTGATCGCTACTAGGTCACTCCCCGAGCCGTGAGTTTATCATACCCCTGCTTAAAACTATGTATGGATCCTGCCTCCCCTACATCGTTCCCAAAAATTTACTTACTGATACTCTTGGTGAAGAAAAAACTTCCAACTCCCGTGATTCATCGTGTCTTCGCTTCCAAAATGTGTCCCCTTTTTACTGTGTCCCAAATTTTGGAAAATCCTGTCTTTGTCCACCTTGTCAAATTTCCCCTTTAGTTTTTGTATGTCGTTATCATTCCCCCATTCTCTGTCCTCCAGTGTCTCAGGTTGATTTTCCCCAACCTCTCTCGAGGCATACCCCTTGCTTGGGACTAGTCTTTTTGCAAACCTTTGCCTTTTTTAGTTTTTTCAGTGCTTTGGTAGGTGTGGGGTTCCAAATGGTGTGGGTGGGTGTGTGGGTGGGGGTGGGGTTGGGGGGGGGGGTGGGGGTGGGGGTGGGTGTGGGTTGGGGGGTGTGGGTGGGGGGGGGGATGGGTGTGGGGGGGGGGGGTGGGGGTGGGGGGGGGGTGTGTGGGGTTTTGGGGGGGTGTGTGGTGTGGGGGGGGTTTTTTTTGGGGGTTTGGGGGGGGGGGTGTTTTTTGGGATGGTTGGGGTTTGGTGTGTTTTTTTTGGGTGTTGGGGGTGTGGGTTTGGGGGTGTGGTTGTGGGGGGGGATGTGGGGGTTGGTGTGTGGGGGGGGAAAGTGGTGGGGGTTTGGGGTGTGTGTGGGGGGTGTGTTGTGTGTGTGGGGGGTGGTTTTGTGTGTGTGTGGGTGTGTTTTTGTTGTGTTTGGGGGGATTTTTTGGGGGTGTTTTGGGGGGGTGTGTGGGGTTGTTGTGGGGATTGTGTGGGGGGTTTTGTGTGGTGGGATGTGGGGGGGGGATTTTTTGTGTGGGGAGGGGTGTTGTGGGGGTGTGTGTTGTGGGGATGTGTGTTTGTGGGGATTTTGGGGTGTGGGGGATGTGTGTGTGGGGGGGATGTGTGTGTGTGGGGATGTGGTTTTTTGGGGATGTGTGTGTGTGGGGGTGTGTTTGTGGGGATTTTGGGGTGGGGATGGGGTGTGTGGGGTGTGTGGGTGGGGATGTGTGTGTGGGGATGTGTGTGTGGGGATGTGTGGTGGGTTTTGGGGGGGGGAAAGTGTGGTGTGGGGATGTGTGTGTGTGTGTGTAACCCCCTATTTGTATCACCTATTTTTTGGTTTTCACGGGCGAGTTACAGCTCCTGGCCCCCGCCTCTTTGCTGATTGCTTCAAAGGGGGTTTTCCCCCCCTGCCCCGAGTTTTATCAACCTTTGCCTTAAAAATAAGTATGGGGTTCCCCCCTCCCCTACGTCACTTTTAGGCTATTCCCGGCCTGATTACTCAAAGACTGAAGAAAATTTCTTTCCCAACATCCCTTTTATTCATCTGGTCTTAAATTTCCAAAATTTGACCTCTTTGTGTCGTGTCTCCCCTCTGGGAAAAACCCCTCTTTTTTTCCAACCCCTTTTCTAAATTCCCCGCAGTATTTTATTAAAGGCGTTAAATTTTTCCCCCCGACCCTTCTGTCTTCCAGAGTCGTCAGTCCGATTTCCCTCAACCTTTCCTCGAACGACATTCCCCCGAGCTCTGGAACTAGCATTGTTGCAAACCTTTGTACTTTCTCTAACTTCTTGATGTGCTTGACCAGGTGTGGGTTCCAGACTGGTGCTGCATACTCCAGTATGGGCCTAACATACACAGTGTATAGTGTCTTGAACGATTCCTTATTAAGGTATTGGAATGCTATTCTCAGGTTTGTGTGTGTGGGGATGTGTGGGGATATGTATGTGTGTGTGTGTGTGTGTGTGTAAGGGTGTGTGTGTGTGTGTGTAAGGGGATGTGTGTGTGTGTGTGTGTAAGGGAATTGTGTTGTGTGGTGTGTTGTGTGTGGTGTGGTGTGTGTGTGTGTTGTGTGTGGATGTGTGTGTGTGTGTGGGTGTGTGTGTGTGTGTGTGTGAGGGATGTGTGTGTGTGTGTGTGTAAGGGGATGTGTGTGTGTGTGTTAAGGGAGTGTGTGTGTGTGTGAGGGATGTGTTGTGTGTGAGGGGATGTGTGTGTAGGGTGTGTGTAGTGGTTAGTGATGTGTGTGTGTGTTGTAAGGGGATGTGTGTGTGTGTGTGTGTGTGGTGTGTGTTGGGAGTGTATGTGTGTGTGTGTGTAAGGGGATGTGTGTGTGGGGTGTGTAGGGGTGTGTGTGTGTGTAAGGGGATGTGTGGTGTGTGTGTGTGAGGAGTGTGTGTGTGTGAGGATTGTGTGTGTGTGTGAGGGATTGTGTGTGTGTGTGTGTGTGTGTGTGTGTGTGTGTGAGGGGATATGTGTGTGTTTGAGAGGGGATGTGTGTGTGTGTGTGGTGTGTGAGGGGATTGTGTGTGTGTGAGGGGATGTGTGTGTGTGAGGGGAGTGTGTTGTTGTGTGTGTGTGAGGGGATGTGTGTGTGTGAGGGATGTGTGTGTGTGTGTGTGTGTGTGTGTGTGAGGGGATTGTGTGTGTGTGTGTGTGAGGGGATGTGTGTGTGTGTGTGTGTGGAGGGGATGTGTGTGTGTGTGTGAGGGGATTGTGTGTGTGGGTGTGTGTGTGTGTGTGTGTGTGTGAGGGGGTGTGTGTGTTGGGGAGGGGATGTGTGTGTGTGGGGTGTGTGTGTGTGAGGGGATGTTGTGTGTGTGTTGTGAGGGGGGGGTTTTTGTGTAGTGTGTGTGTGTGTGAGGGGATGTTGTGTGTGGGGAGGGATGTTTTTGTGTGTGTGTGTGTGTGTGTGGGGATGTGTGTGTGTGTGTGTGTGAGGGGATGTGTGTGTGTGTGTGTGGGGGGATGTGTGTGTGTGTGGGGGGATGTGTGTGTGTGTGAGGGGATGTGTGTGTGTGTGAGGGGATGTGTGTGTGTGAGGGGATGTGTGTGTGGGGGGGGATGTGTGTGTGTGGGGGGATGTGTGTGTGTGTGGGGGATGTGTGTGTGTGTGGGGGATGTGTGTGTGTGGGGGATGTGTGTGTGGGGGGGATGTGTGTGTGGGGGATGTGTGTGTGAGGGATGTGTGTGTGGGAGATGTGTATGTGTGTGTGAGGATGTGTACTCACCTAGTTGTGGTTGCGAGGGTCAAGTCACAGCTCCTGGCCCTGCCTCTTCAACTGGCTGCTTCTCAGTTACTCTTCCCACTCTGTGAGCTTTATCGTGCCTCTTCTTAAAGCTATGTATGGATCCTGCCTCCACTACATCAATACCCAGGCTGTTCCACTTGCTGACAACTCTGTGACTGAAGAAATACTTCCTAACATCCCTGTGATTCATCTGAATCTTCAACTTCCAACTGTGACCCCTTGCTGCTGTGTCCCATCTCTGGAACATCCTGTCTCTGTCCACCTTGTCTATACCTCCCAGTATGTTATATTTCATTATCATATCCTCCCTATCTCTCCTGTCCTCCAGTGTCGTCAGGTCAATTTCCCTTAACCTCTCCTCGTAGGACATACCCCTTAGCTCCGGGACTAGTCTTGTTGCAAACCTTTGCACTTTCTCTAGTTTCCTTACATACTTGGCTAGGTGAGGGTTCCAAACTGTCACTTCATATTCCAATAAGGGCCTAACATACACAGTATACAGGGTGCCGAACCCTGTGTGTGAAGGGGTGTGTGTGGGGGATGTTTGTGTGTGGGGGGATGTTTGGTGCAGGGGGGGTTTGTGTGTGGGGGAATGTTTTTGTGTGGGGAATTTGTTGTGGGGGAATGTTTGTGTGGGGGGGAATGTTTGTATGTGGGGGAATGTTTGTAGTGGGGGAAAAGTTGTGTGTGGGGGAATGCTTGTGTGTGGAGGGTGTTTGTGTGTGGAGGGATGTTTGTGTGTGGAGGGATGTTTGTGTGTGGAGGGATGTTTGTATGTGGGGGATGTTTGTGTGTGTGGGGGAATGTGTGTGGGGGAATGTGTGTGTGGGGGGGAATGTGTGTGGGGGAATGTGTGTGGGGGAATGTGTGTGTGGGAATGTGTGTGGGGAATGTGTGTGTGTGGAGGGAATGTGTGTGGGGAATGTGTGTGGGGGGGGAATGTGTGTGTGGGGGGGAATGTGTGTGTGGGGGGAATTTGTGTGTCGGGAATGTGTGTGGGGGGGAATTTGTGTGTCGGGAATGTGTGTTGTGGGGGGAATGTGTGTGTGTGTGGGGGGAATGTGTGTGTGGGGGGAATGTGTGTGTGGGGGGAATGTGTGTGTGGGGGAATGTGTGTGTGGGGGGAATGTGTGTGTGGGGGAATGTGTGTTGTGGGGAATGTGTGGGGGGAATGTGTGGGGGAATGTGTGTGGGGGAATGTGTAGGGGAATGTGTGGGGGGGAATGTGTGTGGGGGAATGTGCGTTGGGGGGAATGTGTGTGGGGGAATGTGTGTGGGGGAATGTGTGTGGGGAATGTGTGGGGGGGAATGTGTAGGGGAATGTGTGTGTGGGGAATGTGTGTGGGGGAATGTGTGTGGGGGAATGTGTGGGGGGAATGTGTGTGGGGGAATGTGTGTGGGGGAATGTGTGGGGGGAATGTGTGTGGGGGCAATGTTTGGGGGGAATGTGTCTGGGGGAATGTGTGTGTGTGGGGGAATGTGTGTGGGGGAATGTGTGTGTGGGGGGAATGTGTATGTGAGGGAATGTGTATGTGAGGGGGAATGTGTATGTGAGGGAATGTGTATGTGAGGGGGAATGTGTATGTGAGGGGGAATGTGCATGTGAGGGGGGAATGTGTGAGGGGGGAATGTGTATGTGAGGGGGGAATGTGTGTGTGTGGGGGGGGAATGTGTGTGTGTGGGGGAATGTGTGTGTGGGGGAATGTGTGTGTGGGGAATGTGTGTGTGGGGAATGTGTGTGTGTGGGGAATGTGTGTGTGTGGGGGAATGTGTGTGTGGGGGAATGTGTGTGTGGGGGAATGTGTGTGTGGGGGAATGTGTGTGTGGGGGAATGTGTGTGTTTGGGAATGTGTGTGTGGGGGAATGTGTGTGTGGGGGAATGTGTGTGGGGGGGGATGTGTACTCACCTAATTGTGGTTGCAGGGGTCGAGACTCAGCTCCTGGCCCTGCAAAAAAAAATCAGTGGGCCTATGTGTGGTGGGGAATGTGTGTGTTCACCTATTTGTGGTTGCAGGGGTCAAGACATAGCTCCTGGCCCCAACTCTTCACTGATCGCTACTAGTACATGTATATTCGTGTAGTTGTACTCACCTAGTTGAGGTTGCAGGGGTCGAGTCATGGCTCCTGGTCCCGCCACTTCATTGCTCGCTACTAGGTCACTCTTCTTCTGTGTGTTTGTGTTTATAGTTATTTTGGAGCATCAAAGTGTTATGAATTTGTTTATAAAAGAATCAGCAACTATCTAGTAAGAAAAATGGTGTTGTATATATATATATATTCCTATTTTTGTCTCCTGTGTGTCTGTTTTGACTGCTATGAGAGCAGCTGGATGACAAGACTTAACAAGATGTGCCACTTGGAGACAACAGGGTGACCACACCAGGGTGACCACACCAGGGTGACCACACCAGGGTGACCACACCAGGGTGACCACACCAGGGTGACCACAACAGGGTGACCACAACAGGGTGACCACACCAGGGTGACCACAACAGGGTGACCACAACAGGGTGACCACACCAGGGTGACCACACCAGGGTGAAGACTTGCCTTACTCATTACCAGTCTCCATCTGTATAACAATTTTTTGCTGGTATCTATGTAGTTTCAAACAAATTTATAATAAAAAGTACGTAATATTAAAAATAAAATATCGGCTTAGTGCAGATTCACTTCACTATATTTACCATACTGTACGATAAATACAATAATGGAAGTAGAAATAGTATGTATAGATATTTATATATACAGTATATGTATATGTTATGTAAAATATATAAATTACTTAGAATATGTCTAACTTTCTCCAGCTGATCTACCTAGATTAAGTCACACTTATCTACAGCACTGTTGGTTCTAGTCTTTGGGCAGTGTCAACTTGGTCACTCATATTACTTTCAATAAACAAGTAAGGTTACTGAAGCTAAAATTTATTCTTTCAACTCTGCCATGTCAAACTAAGAGAGGACTTAGGCATCAGGTCAATTATATTTTAGTTTTTCAATTGTGTACAAAACTTCAGCTATGGCAAACATTGCTATTATGAAGTTCACCCAGAAAGTGGTTGATGATGCAGAGTGTAGCATGCTAAAAGGACAACCATTAAAGATAAGATGGACCATATAACATGAACCTCAAGAATAACCTGATCATCTGGCTCCATTTCATGGAGCCAATTTAGGTCATGAAGGGATTCAAGCGTAAGGTCGTGGGCTGGAATGGGTGTCAGACGGTGAGTTGGGCTATGAAGAACAGGAGGGTGGTGGGTAGGAGTGTCTCTGGGATTAGTATAAGGTCGAAGCTGGAGAGTAGGACTTAGAGGTGGAGAGAGTGAAGTGTGGTCAGGAATGTTTTCTGGTACTTCATCAGCAAAGGTGAGGCTCCTGAGAGTAGGTCGGTTGATTTTGGGCGAGCTGCAACTCGGCAAATGTGGTGGCTGGACAGACTGACCAGGTTTAGAGTTTGCTGTGGCTTCTTCTGCATCTTCCCAGCCATCATCACAATAAAGAGCAACGCAGAGATTTTCAGAAGCTGAGGCATGTCGCCTAGGAAGTGGACTCCAGTTGAGATCTGAAGTGGTAGGGTGTGGTGGGCTCAGAGTAGTAGCAGATGAGCTTAACTTAGAACCCTTACTTTTGCTGCTCTGCTTTCCCTTCTGTTGTGTCATCTGGTATGAAAGCTGGTTACTCTGACCCCTGGAGACATACTGAATACCATTTTGTGCATGAAAGTCTAAATTATTTTCTGCTCTGGTTCTTGCAACTACACTGCCTTGTACTCTAGAATGAGCCACGTAGCTACATTCACCTGACACCTGTGTCACATGGTTGCTGGCATAGTGCATCATTCTTCGTTCACCTTCGGACTGGCTCACTAAAAAAGATCCGAACCAGTTGGAAAGCCTGTTAACTTCACTTATAAATGTTGCACCATGTCGCAATCCTTCTCTAGCCGAAGGTCAGCACGTGGCAGAAGGTCATTGGAGGTCATGCGTGTCATAGAAAAGATGTGACACATCGAGTGTGGTAGCCAAGTCTAGAATTATGGCATACAGACCTGGGTGATCCAATACTTCCCCTTCTGGTAAGTTGGGGTGACATCGGGGGTAGAACTGTCGTCCCTGTAAAAATAACTCCAGTTAGATACCAGTAATAAAAAAAAGATACCCCTGTATGATTATAAACATTTTTTCATGAATTTATTACCAAAATACAGTGGAACCTCGGTTGTCGAACTTAATTCATTCCAGATGTAGGTTCGACAACCAAAATGGTCAACCACCAAACCAATTTTTCCCATAAAGAATAATGTAAATAGAATTAACCTGTGCCAGACCAAAAATGACAATATAATACATAATTTATTAACAATACAGCTTCTCCTCACTTACCAACTGAGTTCCGTTCCTAAGACCAT